GTAGTAGTTGCTCATGAATCTCCTGAATTTTCCTGAATTTTCCCAATCGTTCACAGCCGAAGCCGGGGTAATGGCCCCGATACATTAATCCGTTTTCTGTGTTTCCATGAGGGACGCTGGGCTCAGTTCCCAGCATGTGCTGCTCACCCCGAAGAGATTGGAGCGACCCCACAGGAATGCGGAAAGGAAGAATGTTTCCACGAAACCGTTTCCGGGACCCCACAGGCAGCGGAGGACGTTCTGGCAAAAGTGAAATGTCTTCCAAATACTGGTTTCCGGAACCCCACAACCCGCAATTAATGGCGTGGAAGAACGCGCATGAGCGTTTTCACATCGTCCGCGGCGTGGAAAAGTGGCTCCAGAGGACATCTCGCCGCAATTTTGTGGCAAAAGTTGAGAGTAGGGGAGGGAGTGCTCGGGGTACTTTCCAAGGTCTCGCCCACCGTTTGAACCAACAAGTGTCCGGCCCCTTGGCCTGCCCCAGGCGTGGAGCAGTGAGCAGGCCCCTCGTGCGTCGCACGTCGTAACCGGGCCCGGGGCTGTTGGTCCCTCGGACAGGGAATGGAAATGGGCGGGTGGGGGCCCGCCATTTCGAATTTGAATTCAAATTCGAATGGGGGTGCGCCCAGCGTTGTCGTCACCAGTCGACCGATGCAAGGATGTTCCACTTCTGTAGACGTTTGTGACGGCCATATGCTAATGCACCCGGCACGTGGCATCTGCGGGTTTGTCGTGGCATGGCGTCGTCAATCAACAGTGTTCTCGTGCGCTTCCCATGCACGTCGTCCACCACCTCCGTTGCCGTGCTGTGCCATGGGCGTCGGTTAGCCGACGTGTGCATGGTCTCGCAGGTGACTTCATGCGTGGTAGGTATGTGGCGGATGCGCAACGGTTGTGGGGACGTGGTTGGTGTGTTGGAGTACCTCTTCACAATTCCATCTCCTCCATCCGCTGAACATTGTCCCTCCACATGGCATCCCTTGGTGCAGTGGAAGTTCTGAGCGTTGTGCGTGCTGTTTGTCCGAACATCACCAGTGTCGTCGGTAGAAGGTTCGTGCCCGAAGGGAACGACATTACACATGCAGTTCAACGCTGTGGCGGTACAGGGCGGATCCTGGAGGGAGGGTTGACGGACCGGGACGTGGCTGTTGCGGGGACGGTTTATGCACGACCGTACGTCACAGACCACCTGCGCTATGACAGAGAATTGGCAAGTGCGATCATAGAAACACTTCCCCCTCTGACCTGCAGGCTTTTCGATGTACACATGGGTGCAGTCTATGGCTCCCACGCACGCTGGGAAACCTTTGCGTTCGAAAGCGTCCAGCGTATCTTGCAGCTTCTGCCCGGTTGGGAATTGGAGCAGATGCCCATACTTCCTGATCAGCGCATCGGCGACATCGATGTTGCTCCGCAACGCTCTCGCCAAACCAAGCCCCAAACCATGCGCCGACTGCCTGTAGTAACCTCCCGTCGCCCACCTGATGAGAGCGCATGCAAACTTCTGCGCCGCCGGCACTGGCTGTCTCCAGTTCGTCGTCTGACGCTGGATATGTGGCGCTGTGCGAGCCAGAATCTAATTGAACAGCGGCCGGGGAAGTCTGCAGAACCGCTGGAAGACCTTCTCGTGCCTGCCTCCCACTCTTTGGAGGTCCTTCCACACACCCCCAGTGCGTTCCAACACCCACACGCGTCTTTGACCATCCACACGATGGATGAAAACGCTGCCCAGCACGTCCGCCAGTGACATGCTATGCATCACCACACCCGTGAGATGCAACAGGGTGGAAGACAACCCCGACAGACAAGTCGGCATAGCAGCCGCTGCCTGCAGGACAGCCATCGCCGCCGCGTTCCTTGTGTCCATGCACTGCAGAAGGACGAAAACCATCAGAAACATGGTATTGTCCCAATCATCCATCAGCTCTGAAGTCGCACCACGCTCCATGCAACGAGGCTTGCACACACCACGTGCGTGGACGTACGAACACGTCCGCTCAGCTGCGGTGATGGGGACAGGACGAAAGATCGATGGATGAGGCAGACGACAATGGTTATGGTGGCCAGAGCTTTCACTCACGCAGAATTTTGCAGCGGCTCGCATACACAACAACCACCTCCAGAAGAACAACCCCTGTGCCAACGGTCTCATTGACGGTACCGTGTGGAACGGTCCAGCGGCACGGGGACGGCGGGTCCCCTTCGGCCCTCTCACCAGTGGGAGGTCACACTGCCTCTTGCACATGCCGCCCTGCGTCACCCACATAAGGCGGCACGGTCATTCCTTGGGTCCACCCACGCCAAGCGGACTTTCGACCACTTTCCTTTTCGGGATGCTGAACAGGCACCTTTCCTATTACGGAATATCACTTCCGCACTTTGCCACAAAACGCAGTCCGCTATGGGGTCCTGGCAAAACAGTGTCCAACCTTTCCAAAATCGTCCGGCCATTTCCTATGGCCAGACGTCTTTTGGGGTCCAACTCAAAACAAAAAAAAAAAAGCGAGATTGGACGGTTCTATTGACAGTGAGGAGACAATAGATATGAAAATTGTGGTTTTTCCTTTTTTCTTTCTCTTTTAAAGATATCATAGACTACCAGCCGGGCAGCCCTGGTTATCTTGTTCGCCCCAGCGGTCATGGTCTGGCCGTGCAACGACCAAAGAAGGTTAAACAAAATTGCAGAAAAATGAACTGAACAACTTTTGTCTCAGGGTCACATCGAAATTCGTTACCAAATTTAAAATTAAAATTAAAAAAAGCCTATTGCAAGGTAAATAAGCAACAGCGAGATGACAATTCCAGATCACACCATCACATTAAAAGCCAAATAGTCACACCGTGTCCAGAGAGCATAATTGCTCCAATAATACACCAATGGAGGTTCGTAGCACTGAAAACCAATGTTTATGGAGAGCATACTCTCTCCTCTCAACACAAGAGTCCAGTTCCTTCACACTCATACTTGGCGCTCAGCGCCCAGCCTACTCCTACACAGCTACTACAGACTACGAAATGACAATGCAACTGTTGACATCAGCGGCAGCCCGAAGTACTTGAAGATGTCGCTCATGCAGACCATCTCCAATACAAGGTAAGTGCCCTCACATCATCATCATCTTTCACCTATCCCCTGACTACATCCACGTCTGTCCTCTGTTTCACCCGAAGACCACCCCTGCGCCTCACTGTAGTCCAAGCCCACCAGCTATGGGGCAAATCGCCAATTAACGGAAATTTCAGGGGCGTTTCGCAAATTTTCCCTTTTTGTTTTAGTTTTACAGAAAATGATGTTTAGAAAGAATTCACATAAAGGGTGTGACAAAGCTCATAAACTTGCACAACAGCCTTTAATACGTACCTGAAATGATATTTCTCAAAAGGAATTATAAAAGCCTTATTATATTTGAACCCCCAGTACCTCACCCAGCTATGCAAGCCGACCCTCACGCGACCAGTATGTCGAGCCTGCCGAGCCTGGAGGTACTGGTAGTTGGACGGGCCGAGCCTTGGGGAACCAGATTAAAAAAAACAAAAATAAAATTAAAAAAAATGAAACAACGTTGGGTACGTGAATGAAGTTGGATGCATTCTCCCAAGTGCTACTGTGAGCATGCCCTTAGTCAGGGTGTATGAGTCCCGTTACTGCGTACGCCGGATCTACAAAGAAGACAAAGACAAAAAAAAAAAAAAAAAAAAAAAACAGTTACAAAAGATGGAGGAAGGAGAGGGAAAAGAACAAGAAACCAGGGGGGGGGGGGGGGGGGAACGTCAGGCAACGCAGCCGGAAAAAAAAAAAAAAAATCGTCGGGAAGCGACACGACGATAAAGAAAATGGGACGAAAAGTAAAAAAACGTCGGGAAGCAACAAAAAAGACACGGGGGAACGAAATAGTCCAAACCAGAGAACCGCGAAAAAAAAAAAAAAAAAAAAAAAAAAAGATGATCCGATCCGGGCCTTCCAGCCGTGAAGGGGAGGAGAGTTGTGCGGGTAAATGGTCTATTCTATCGACTTGCCGGTGGAATACGAACCTGACCAACGCTCCCGGAATGGACAAGGACTCAAGGAGCCATAACCGGAAGGTTCTGTTGGCGCATACCATGCATGGCGAGATCGTGCACCGGGATGAGCTATTATGAGGTACCCTCCATAGATGGAGAAGATCGATGGCCTGCATTGGTTGACCCGTACCAGTGGAACATTGTCCACATAGTCCGCTCAACTAGGGTTGCACTCTTTCCTGTTAGGCAAAAAGACAACGACAGAGACACAGACAGTTCTCTTGTTCTTTCCGTGACGCCTTTTGATGCTGCAGAGTCGTGCAGACAGCCTTTCAAAAAAAAAAAAAAAAAAAAAATGCTTGTCGGCAGGCTTTCATAATAAGTTAATGACTCTGTCGTTTACGTTTCATTGCCTTTTTTTTTTTTGTCTATCTGCTGAGCAGAACATGCCAGAGTCGATAAGAGTCACTGTTATGAATATGTCGACTACTGTTGGGCCCATTTTTTTTTTCAGGAAAAAAAAGGGAAAAACTTTGAAAAAGGGAAAAATAGAGTTTAATATGCAAAGATTGTTGTTGTCCTCTTTCCGTTATTCCGTTCTATATTGCGGACGGAGTTTCAGAAAAAAAGGAAAAAAAAGAAAAAAGAAAAGGAAAGTCGTCAACAGGCTTCCTCCGGGACCTCCGTTAAAACTTAAGACTTGAAACTTAAAATTGCAACGAAACAGAGAAGATTAGCATGGCCCCGGGGCAAGGATGACATGCGTAAATCAAGAAATGGTCAAGATTAAAATAAATAATTAATTTATTAAATTAAATAATTAAAATTAAATAATCGAATTAAATAATTAAATAAAACACTTAAATAATTAAATAAAACAATTGCATAAATGATTAAAGTAAACGAATAAAAGAAAATGATGTTGTCAACAGGCTCCCTTGACTCCTGTCGTTTTGTTTTTCTCGTCTCTGTCTTTGTGTTGGTCATCGGCTGAGCAGAACATGGTGGACGGGCTAGGGGTCACTGGGTACGAAGGTGTTTTTGTCCGCGTGTGCGAAATCACGCTGTCTGTTCTGCGATCATACAAGGAGACGTTGATGAGCGTTCTGGAAACGTTCATCCATGACCCACTTGTGGAATGGACCAAGGTACACAAGTCCAGCGTGAAGGAGGTTGAGAATCCGCAAGCACAGAAGGCGATCGGCAATATCGCAGCGCGGCTGCAAGGTGCCATTGTAGGCGTCGGCGCGGCGCCATCCTTGCCTTTATCCGTGGAAGGACAGGCCCATCGACTGATCGCTGAAGCGGTGTCTCATCAGAACCTGGGGAAGATGTACATATGGTGGATGCCTTGGTTTTGACTGCACACACACCCACACCCACCCACACCCACACACACACACACACACACACACACACACACACACACACACACACACACGCACACACACANTGCGTTCGGCCCGAACGGCTGAACGCATCCCCAAGGGATCCCATACGTTCGAGCGTTCGGGTTCGGGCATTCGGCCCGTCCCGAACGCCGGTTACCCTGTGTATATGTATATATATATATATATTTGGCCCGGCTGGGCAAGTGGTCCCGGGCTACTCTGGTAGCCCATAGATTTGCCATATTGAAGGAAAATAATGGGGAAATAAAAAACAGCAATGACGAAATTCATCTGCATCGAAATGGGATAGAAACAATCAATGACATTAAGCCACCAGTACCTCGCCCAGCTAAAGAAAACCGACGCGGCCGTTAATGCGCCGCATCGGACGGGGGTGGGCAGTGAACCCCCAGTCGCCTGTTTATGAAGTTGCAAAATAAAAGGAAAAAAACAAAAACAAAAAAAACATAGTCCTTGGAGGCGCGTCGATTCGGGGAATACAGTCACAGTGGCCGTGCCCACGCTGGTACCTACAACAATGAATCTTTCTTTCTTTCTTTTTTTTTTCTCTTTTGCAATGTATTTTCCAACATTTCATTTTTTTTTAAATAAAGAAATCCAATTATTGCAATATCATATCCGTTGTCGATCTGTATCGAGCAATTGTGGAAGCTGCTTCGCCTGATCTTTGCTTCCTTCATAGCTTGTCAGAACGAGCCACTCATTCCAGTTTTTGGCTGACTCGCAGACCGGGAGAGGAGACCGTGGAAAAAACTTCCACCCCTTCAGGAACGTGGACGCCGAGTGAAAAATCCACGCTATTGTCGTTCCCATCCCGACCCTTTCTCAAGCTTCTTTTCTTCAGACTTCGTCGTCGTACTATCGCTTGTTGCGGCTCGCTGCACTCCTGAACTCACACCTTCATCGGGTGAAACCCCAAATGACTCTCGTCCTCCTCGACGCCGCTGATAGAGAATCATCCTAAGCCTGATATAGCCATGTCACCCGCAGGCCTTGGCCCGGCCTGTGCAGCGAATTGGAGCACAGGTGTCTTCTGCACGCCTTTCCATCCTCTACCTGCATGTCAGAATTCGTCGATGGCGGATACGGATACACAGCATCTGACCCAATTCCCGCTCAAAGAAGTCATCCGCTTCACGTGTTTGCACACAATATGGCCCCGAACGACGAACGACTGTTGTGCCATAGAAGGCGAGTGTGAACCCGAACGGTTGTTGCGCCGTAGAAGGCGGAGCTGGGAACACAAAGCTTGTGTGGCTTGCTTGAGGACTAGAGGACAGTGTTGCAAAGTACTAGTGTAGCCCGTATAGAGGTGAGATTCTATAGGATTGATACTGCAGCTAAGAATCTAACTCTTGATTCAAGGATTGGTACTGGATTGACCCTAGCCACCCTGAGCAGATGCTCTCTCTCAATCAACATTCTGACCGTATGGCCTACGAAAAACAAAATAGTGAGTGGGCGAGCACGTTTTGACACCCCTATCTTTGACGATTTTTAATGTTCATTTGGCTGAGCAGTCTGGCTTCAAAATTTCTAAGCCTGTAGGTTACATCATAGAGAATTCATAAAAAAACAATCAGGAAAAAAAACGGATTTTTAGGCCCCGAATGTTTTTTGGGCGGGGGCCGAACCTGGAGGTGTTCGGCCCCCAAACGGGACCCAGAGCGCCCGAACGTTCAGGGGCCAGCCCGGGGGCCCCCGAACGTTCGTTCAGGTAACCCTATTTATATATATATATATGTTTTCTATTGGGAAAACATATTGAATCAAAGAATAAAAATGAATATTGGATATTCAAATTCTTTCTTAGAATATACAAAGAAAATACAAAGATGCAACTTTTTTCAATTCTTA